GTTTTCTTTCCCCCAGACAGAAAGCAAGCAGAGAAATAAGCACTGCCAGGCTTGGCAAGTTTGGGAGCAATGATGTGCATGGTCCCACCTCCAATATCACCTCCGCACTGCCTGGAATGCAGCAGGAAGGCAGACCAGGTTTTCCTGTTGGCACATGAGCCATTACCACAGCAGTTCAAACCCCCATCACAATTATTTTTGCGGGATAGGATGCTACAAAATCTAGTAAGGGAGGTAGAAGTTCAAAGTAAATGGTTTTGTAACAGTTCACAGTTAAGATCAAGTTTTGAAGGAGATGATAGAGAAGGTGCGGTATGAAGAGGGGCAGGTTAACATGACCCACAACATCACATGCCCACAGAGCTGAGCGTGTTCAAACCTATATCCTGAGCATCTTCAAGTTTCCTTCCTTCACTTATACTAATTACTGTCATTTTGCTTTCTTTAGATCTTCCATTCTCAACATGCCTTTATCTCTCACATCTGATTTTAAAGTTTGAAACTTGAGCTTCTATGCCATGAGGGACAGTCCCAATCACAGCTGGACTGTGAGGATGGAAGGAAACATTATCGGAACATAAATCTCTTGGAAGCAAAACAGCTGAATTAACAGATAACTTCTGAAAGGAAGAGCTACAGTCTTAAAATCTCGCTGAGTTCCATTTTTTTTCCTAGCTGGTAGAAAAGGCTGAATTGGGTCCCATAGAATTTGAGTGTCCTCCTTTGACCACTGAACCCTCCTTACGTCCCTCACTCACGATATCTGGCAAGATCAAAACACTTAGCACACAGGATTCTTTTCCACCTTGCTCAGTACTCTTTTCAAAGTTAAAGACAACAAGACAAACAGGCTTATAAACTTGGATTGCTTAATCTACATACTCTAGGCATTAAACCTGCTGAGACTGTTTATATCACTGTAATTACTTTCATTCAGACTGCTAAAGCCTGAATCATTAGCTTAGGTTACGATGACCTATACGCATGTTTAAAACCCATTTATCCTATTAAAGAGATTTAAAATTTGTCTCGTTTCGCAAGATGTCAGCGATTCTTGATTTATGATTTGGACATGCTGTAAAAGTAAAAGCAATTACCTCCCTTACGGTCAAAGCCCACTGCCTCAAGGTTGCCAGACAACATCGATAAATGAAAAGCAACAGCTCTAGTCTTCAGCATGACAGACAAATGCAATGTCTATTGAAATACAGCCCACGCTGGTGTCTGCATACCGGGGAGCACTACATCAGCTGACAGGTTCCAGCAGGAACTATTACACTTCAAGCTACTTAGGAGCCAATGCCAACATGCTGGTTGGTTCCTGTCAGGGGTGTTACTTTCTATTCATCTGTTCTGGGTTTTTTTAAGAAATGACAGGGGGGAAAAGCTCTGCTAATCTTTGTCTTGCTTCACGCCACCTTCAAAGAGTGAAAATCTTTTATTTGAACACTTTTCCTTTGAAGCTTTCATGAATTTTATTTCAAATGAAGTTGCTCTGGTTGTTCCTAGAAATACAATGACTCTACAAGGATGAAGTTGGTTGGAGAAGCTGAAATGCAGCCACAGAATAGGATAAGCAAGGCAAAGTTCTGCCCAAGAAAGGATCCCAGTGCCAATCTCCTTTGGAAAAATTACCAAAGTCTCATATTTTTGTCTCGTGTATGCTGTAAATATGACTGGAGGTCTGAAGAGCTCACACACATACACACAGACACCCCCCTGGATGCTGATGGGCAGACATTGACCCTGACAAACACGGGCCAGTTTAGTTGTGCCTGTGCCCAGAACAGCTAACCAGGAACATACAGAAACTACTCAGTCTGTCTGGATATCACCAAGACCTGAAAACTCCCTGGAAGCATCTGTGAGACAAAGGATATACATAAAATATACAGCCCCACTCGGGGAGTGGGCATTACAGCAATTCTTCCTATGAAGCTATAAACAAAACAAAGAAAATCCCCCCACAAAAGCCAAGGTACTCACGCCTAAAAACATGGAAGTTATTCCCTCTCTTCTCAGCATAGAGTCAAACTGACAAGATCTTCAAGAGAATTCTCTAATATTTATGTATTTTCTCTGGTATGAAGGTATTCTAGTCACATAAGTCCATTTTAAATGTTTCAGTTTAGAAATAACTAAGCTTTTGTTCATGGTCTGTGGAAAAAGTGATTATTCAGATGCCTCCCACCCTTCTTTTTGGCTGCTACTAATGTAAAAAAAAAATCAGCTTTAGGTTTATTGTATGGATATGCTATAATATATGGATGACTTTGGCGCACAGAACAAAGTTGTACATAAAACATTACTAACGCAGACTGTGCAAGGTGACCGGAGTATAACCTGGCTGATTCGTAGCAGCTGGAGGGTCTGCTCACTGTCTTGCTTTACAGGGCTGGAAAGCAGCATTAGGATTAACCCCTGTCCTCACTTGAATCAATAGAAAACTACTCTTCACATCAGTGACACAGAGCTCACCGCTCCTCTCAAACACCAGCCTTACCCAACTCAAATCTCATCTTCAGAGTCCTCATTTGAAAACCAAAACCCTTTAAAACATCCATGGCCAACTTCCTTACCTGCAGCATTAGCAGTCCTGCTCATTAAAGCTTTTCGCAACGCAGTGATGCTCCTTTGGCAGAAGCACCGTCTCCCTGTCTGTCAAGTGACACAACCACAGAAATGCCCAATATTTTGCAGCTCTTCTCCAGCCTTTTCATGCTGCCATGTTCTTTTTTCCTTTTGCCATGCAAAGTGAGGAGCGTGTGCTCAATACAGTTGTCATCAGGGGCTCCAGTAATGACGGCAAAATAAACCAAACAAAAAACCAAATGACTATAACTCACCTTAGACTCACAAAAGTTACATATCCTAAGGTCAATTATTAAATAAGAACAGATGCCAGTCAGAATAATAAACACAAACTGGGGAAACATGCCTTCCATATAGACACCTAGCTTAATACATCTCCAATGTGCAAGATAATATTCCTGTTAAGCAACTGAAGGAAAAAAAAATCATTCTATAACTACAGCTAAATAGAATAGCAAAGATAAAAGTTTGTCATGAAGATAATTATATAAAACAGGCAACGGGCTCCTGAGAAGGCATTTGGGCTGCATGTTTATTAGTGCCCAAGGGCAAAATTCCAGACCACCTAAGTTCTACCTCATCTGGGTGGTAAGTGAAAAACAACCACCTCCATGCCAGGTGGAGATGAAGATTGCCTGCTATTCCTAATTCCCTAACCCTGAAAGCATTGAACGCTCAGAGAGGGCCCCTGGGTGCCGCAGGCATCTGCGCAGCATCCCCATGGGAGTGCTTGCCTTCCTCCTATGGAAAGAGGAGAAGCCTCAGAATTGGGGGGAAAACCCCTAGCTGGGGGTAGTACCACTTCCCCAAAAGCTTAGAAGAGTGGATCATTCCAATTTTTGTCTGATCTAACTTCTAGTAAACACGATTCATTGTGCATTTTTACTAGCAACTAAAAAAAGTTTCAGCAAACGGAAGAAATGAGCAGGGAGACAGACACAGCCCCGAATTGCATAAGGGAAAAACATTTTTTATCACATTTACTCAAAGGAAAGCAAAAACGTGTCACTGGAAGACTTAAAGTCTCATAGGAAGACTATAAACCCAGCAGGGGTTAAGCCACACTAGCAAAGGTCATAACCAAAATGTACACGAGAGGAGGTTTCCACATCCATACAAGAATGAAAATAGTGGGCCAAATCTATCAACCCATATAGGATGCTCATCAGGAATCGTCTACTGATATAAAAAGATACATAGAAAAAGATAGAAGGAATATTATATAGGCACATTAAATTGTAATTTTGATGAGCTGGCTGGCTAAGTGACATGACTCTACTACAAAAGATTAGAATTTGTCCAGAGAGGCCATGAAGAGGCACCGCACTCCATTCAAAGCCCAGCATGTAATGCATCTCCTTTGGGATGCCAAACCTGAAAGTCATTTTGTCATAGCAAGTCCTAGTACGAATGGTCAAACCAATGAGGTCAAAACAGCACAGTAGGAGCAATGCAAAAAAGGACAGGACTTTGTGAGTGTTTTTAACAGAAGCAGCAGGAAAGAAAGTGACAGAAATGCACTCAATGCTACAATAAATTCACTGGAGAAGAAACAACTGACATCATGAAGGTGCACGATGCAAGAGACAAGAAGAAATGGTAGCTCAGAAGACAGACAGCAGACATGAAAATTTACTGGTATTAAAGAAGCAAGCACAAACACAGGCAACGCAGAGACGAAAACAGGAACAGTATTAGGAGAAACTAATTCATGAATTCTTCGCAGACGAAACTAAAGAAATTGTACAAAAAGTAGAAATGACACCAGAGTTTACTAACAATTATAAATAAAGAAGCACAAGTATACACAGATAAAACAGAAAATGGCCAAAATAGCAAAGTAACCTTGGATATGCTTACTATTAAAAAAAAAAAAAAAAAAAAAAAAAAAAATTTTTTTTTTCCTTGAAAAAAAAAAGGAGATTGTTTCTTCCTTGGAAGAGAATTGAGCAAAGACAGAAGAAAAACAATTCATATTGCTTAGTCTAGCAAAGAAAACATGTCATACACATTAGAGATATACTCACAAAATCTGAGGGGGAGAGGTGCAAGGAAAGGGCCAATCATTTTTCATGTCCACCAGGGACAGAACAAAAGGAAAAGAGAGTATTAGTCTGAAATTGCAGGATTCACATTACACATTCAGAAAATTTTTGCAATGGTAAGAATAGGCAAGTTCCAACATTTACAGTGTTCATGTAGTCTCATTTTTTTATTTATTAAAAAAGACACACACACAGGTTAAACAGCTATCATGTCAGCATGCTGGTGCCTCTTGAAGCAGACAGGAACTGGATAACTTTGCAAGATGCCTTACACAAAAGACTTTGTTAATCCCAAGACAGGGCATATTTGGAAGAATTTTGGTTTTGGTTGTTGTTTATCTACCACTTTTCCTGGACGTCACACTTAGCAGAGACTTGCCTCAGTTTACCAGGTATGGTACAATTTAACAAAGTACAATACATAGTGGTGTCTTAAAATAGTGTTTTTCTCAGCTATCTCCCCACCCAAGACAAAAACCGATGGGCACCTTAGAGGCTCTTGTCTTTCGCTTCTGCTGTTCTCAGTGCCCTTGGGACAGGCTTAGTACCAAGTAACTTACTAATGAAAAAGTCGTAGAACCAGACAGGAAAGTAGTAAAAGACGCAGTGGTGCAGGTAGGCCCCTTTCCCAGGCGTATAGAAGCTGTGCGGCCTCGGGGCCAGCAAAGCGTGCAGGACGTCGTTCAGCACGGGGGACAGGTCGGCCTCGCAGTACGCCGGCATGCGCAGGAGGTAGCGCCTCAGCTCCGGGAAGTAGTCGTCTCCGTAATCGCTCCTCACAGCGGCTGGGAGATTCTCCAGGAGGTCCTTTTCCTGCTTATCCCACAGTTCGGAGGTACCTTGTATACCTGCAGTAACAACCACGAGAAAGCAAATGGGTTTGGGCTGAGCTAGAATATCTCTATAACAAAGAGTGAAAAGTGTCTTTCCTCATCTCTCAAAACCCCAGTTTGCATAGTTGTCCCAAATGAGTCAATGCAGAAGCAAAAATATATATGAGCAGTTACAACTGTCCTTATTGGTTTGGAGGGAGGAAAGGGGGAAGAAAAGGAGAATCTTGAAACATAGACTATATGAAAAGCACATAGTTTATGCACAATTCTTTTGCCACTTACATGTTAAAAAAAGCCTTCTCACAGTTAAGCCAATGCCTTTTTTCCTTGCCATTCTGTCCTTATTCTTTTTGCTGCTATTTCTAATTAGCACTCATTAAGGGAAGTATGACTGAAAGGTACAGCAGGAGATCAACTTGTAACCAAAATGGGCTCCAGAGAAATGTGTTTACAGAGATGGGAGAGGAGAATTTGGAACAGAAGGCAGCAGAAGCACATGGGAGAGGAAGCAGAGATGAAATCTTAGAAGTTATCTATAGTAACATCAACAGCTAGCCAGCATGATGAAAGGTATTGCTGCAAATATTTTGATAAAGGATACAACTCAATAAGCAGAACTCTGATACTGAGAACAGAAAGACTTTACAGACTAAAAGCAAGTCCTGAAGTTCTCATGCAGGAAAAGCAAGCCATAAAGCCCAAGTCAAACAAAGCACTGCCTGCTTATCAACCGTGACACGACTAAGCAGAAGGAAGATACTAATTCTATTACTAGGAACAGCTCAGCAATTGATTTTGAAGACAAACTGTGACCCACTGCACAAAAGGTATAATGTGTTTTTCATTGTATTCCTCATCGAGCACCTTTCCCTAAGTTTTGCTCTGTCTAGAGACAAAGAATCTCTTTGCTCTGTCCAGAAAAAAGGGATATAGTAGAAAAGTAGAGGCCAGCAGTATAGACTACTGAAGGAGGTAGTTCTCTTAAAGAAAAACAGGTATTAATTTGAGCAATCAAAGTGAAAGATGGGAGAAAAGTATGACTCTGACGATTATTCCTGACTTTGAGGATGCTTGATTACAGGAAATATCTGAGGAACAAAGAGAATCATCTAAAATGTCAAATACCAACCTGTTCTGAAGCCTGATGGATGAACTAAAGCAACTTTAACTCCCCATTTGGAAAGCTCTTGCCTTATTACTCCAGAAAACAGGGACAGAGCTGCTTTTGATGCACCGTATGCAGCATACTTAGGTAGTGGAATGCCTCCTGCAGGAGCAATATAAACATGATAAAGCTCAACTCCAGCTCTTTCCAGCTTTTATTTCAGTGATTTAGAAGGACAATTAGAGTGAAATCAAAATTAAGCGCTGAGTTTAAAGACAAGTCAGGGAGGGAATCACTTCTTTCAGGAAAGAAGAAAAAAAACAAAAAAAGTATTTAAAGAAATAAAAAAAAAATACAGATAATGTTTTAATTCATATAAATAGTGAAGTAACAGTTTAATATCACAGATTTTGTTGTCACTCTAACAGATTTCAAGCTCCTATATAATCAGGTTACATAATCTCAGATGCAGCTTTGCAAAGGCAACTGATGTCCCAGCTTTTCCAGCTAAAGTCAGAAAGACCAGAGGTAACAGGACAAGAGTGAGGAAGACCTCAGTGGACAAACTAAGTTCATCTAGCTTGGAATCATGCCACTGGTATGCTAGGAATCCCAGAGATCTAATTTGGAAGCAGAACCACTATGGATGGTTATATCATAGAATCATAGAATGCTTAGGGTTGGAAGGGACCTCTAGAGATCATCCAGTCCAACCCCCCTGCACACGCAGGGTCACCTAGAGCACGTGGCACAGGACTGCGTCCAAGCGGGTTTTGAAGATCTCCAGAGAAGGAGACTCCACAACCTCTCTGGGCAGCCTGTTCCAGTGCTCTGGCACCCTCACTGTCAAGGAATTTCTCCTTAAGTTCCTGTGGAACTTTTGGTGCTTCAGTTTGTGGCCATTACCTCTAGTTCTGTCAGTGGCCACCACTGAAAAGAGACCAGCACCATCCTTCTCACCACCCTTCTTCCTTGATCTCCGCAGCATTTGTGCAAAGGGAAAAGAGATAAAACCAAGTATTTTAGGCAAATTTAAATTAAACCCATATGTTTAAGAAACAAAAGATTCAAAAGAAGTTTGTCCTTAAAAAAACAACCTTATCACTGCTTCAGTCGCAGAAAAATTAAATGAAGTTTTAGGTTGAGCAGCCTTCAGTGCTTTCAGTCTCCCTGTAGAAACTCAGCCTGCTTTGCCACTGCTCAGCTGACCGCTGGCCAACCCAGGAGGTGGCAGATGTCCCAGGCCATGCTCGTGCTGCGGGAAGGAGGGATCGGATCACATAAACCTTCCTCTCTCCAGGGTACCGCATTCCTCCTCCTGCCTGCTCTGACGCTGGGCTGGTGCATCCCCCCGTACAGCCATTTCCAATGGATAAATCAGACATTTGTCTCAATACATTTTAATCTTTTAAAAAAGAAACCACTTTGATAATGGCAAACGTTCAGGTAAGCCACTGGTGCCATTTATTTGGGTTTGTGCTACAACGACCAACGTGTCTCAGGAGCTTCGTACAGAGTCAGGCCAATTGCATGTTAGCTTTTCTGCCCTATGCATATGAATGAGTTTGAATTTCGACTGCTTTGAACCAATTGAATCACATATTTCTTCCCTCTGAGGTCAGGCTAACCTCAAATGCAGTTAAATTTGCTCTACACAGACAGAAACAGACTCGGCATAATGAAGCCTCACTAACTTTTCTGCTAATGTTTTACCAAAGGACCCTCAGACCATGTGGTAAGAGGAAGATATTTACCAGAACTGGCCTGTGTATAAGAACATCCATGTGAAGAGTTATAGTTTAAGCAGGGTCATTAATTTGGCGTTACTGGAACCAATATTCCAGTTAGGGAACCTCTCCATTTATCCCAGCTTGGCTACTCACACTAAGAATGCAAACATCTGCGCAAATGCACCTGAACACCCAACAGATTTCCTTCAAGTGTTGGCACTGAACCATAAACATAGGCTGCAGATGCAAAACATACTTATAACAAAGGAGGAAGAAAGAAAGAAGAAAAAAAAAAAAAAAAAACAGAGATAACATCAAAGCGAGACTGATGCCATATCCTCAAGGTAAGCCATGAAGGCAACGTCTGCACAAGTCTCCTAGGCAGCACAACAGGGTTCAGGTGGGAACAAGCACAACAAAAGGATGGTCGAAGCAAACAAGCTAGACAAATTTTATAAGCAGCCAGTATGCTAAATCCTTACAGAAATCTTCAAAAAGCCTAAATATCTTCCAGCATCATTACACTTTGCATCTAGCAGGTCTCATTTGAAATTGAGCTTTCTTCCTCCTCAGCTGCTGGCTGCTATTACAGTGATTATTATTGCTTCTGTTTCTGCATCTTAGCATCTCATATGTCCTCCAGAATAGGAAGTTATGTCCTAAGGGGACTGGTTTTTTTGTTGTTGTTGCTTGTTTGTATTTTGGGAGGGGGGGGAAGTTGCTATAAACACAGGATTAAACCTGAAAAGCACATTACACTCCATTAATTCTTAAAAAAAGATAAGTGATTTTATCCAAGAAAAACAAACTTACTACTTTGCTAGTAAGTTAGGATAAAGCATTCTTCTAATATGATGATAAAAGTATTATGAAAAGAAAAAAGTGTATTTATCAAGAAATTAATTTTGCAAGCCTATTGACAAGTAAGATTGCCCAACACCTTCATCCGCATTTATGCAAAGGAAGTTAGCCATTACCTGTGTTGCACCAGAAACTAATCAGGGACTTGTCCCAGCTTACCTGCCATACTGGACATGTTAACAAGCCTTCCCCGGGATTTCCGCAGTAACGGCAAGAAGGTTTTGGACACCTCCACGGCCCCAAAGAAATTCACATCCATGCACTGCCTGTACATGCTCATGGGGAGCAGCTCACCATCTGCAGGGAACCCCAGGATGCCAGCATTGTTCACAACTCCCCAGAGACCTGAGAAAGAGAGACATCATGACCATTTTCTGGGTCCCAGCAGACAGGGGACATCGATACAATTACATTGACTGCCCACAGACCGGAGATGGGGTAGACCTACACCCCAAAACCATGGTGCAACCAAGAAGAGATGCATCTAGCAAGCAGATACATAAGTATCCCCATTATAATGGCACAAAAGCTCTACCTGTATTTTGCACTTTCTCTGCAACTTTGAGATAGGCCTCCTTGACTTGGGTAGGATTGGTTATATCCAGCTGAAGGAGGGAAAGTCTCTGGGAACAGGCCCTTCTCAGTTCTTCAGCCCCAGGTCCATCCTTATTCAAAACGCCAGCAAACACAACAAAACCCAGGCTATCCAAGTATTTAGCCAGTGCATGTCCAATCCCAGTGTCACTTCCTGAAAAATAAAAATAAATAAATAAATAAATGAGTTAAAAGTGAGTCTGTCCTGAACCATTACCTTCTGGAAAAAGAGAGGCACTCAACAGAAACCTTTGAAAATATAATCAAAGAGAGGATGAAAAGAAGGCACTCAGAAATACAGTTACAATAGTACAAGAAAGGTACAGATTTAAGAGCCTGAGGAACCCAACCTTTGCACAGCCCGCATAGCTTCGCTGTAGAGCATCTCCTCTTTGCCTTACGGAGAAGGCCGAGGGCATCTGTCCATGCTCTCCCACTGGGGTATTCCAGGATTTACTTCATACATACAAAGAAAATAAAATCCTGGAATGGCTTTATGCAAGTATTCAGACCAAAACTTGCTAACAAAAGTAGTTAGGAAAAAAAGCAAGAGGAAAAAAAAAACATTTTAATTTGAAATGTTAGGTGGACAGAACAATTACAGGCAATGGAATTTCAAGAAATCACTAGATGATATTTCTTTATCCAAGGAAGCACTATTTTACTGAAAACTCTATCATCTGAATTGTTTTATTATGTAATTATTTGTCCACAGGCTGCTATGAAGCCAGAGCTAAGCAGTGTTTCTTTAACTGCAAAAGGGCTCATTGCTTTCAAGCTCTAAGAGTGTATCAGAAGGGCATTTTAAGACTATGCCAAATAATACCAGTTATTTAATTTACGCAGTCCTGCATTAGATTTTTCTCTTATCTTCTCCACCATCAGAATTATTCCCAATCTTTGTACATGTAATGTAATGAACTATCAAATAGAGCAAACACCATTAAAGCAGGCACATAGCAACAAGCTTCATGGTTATAATTGCGCAATTTCCTCCACTGGTTAAGAACAAGTATTTAACAAGTAAAGTCAATTGATTTGCAATTCAACACTACATTTTACTGTCACTATCTTAAGATACTTTTATGTATTCTCTCTCCTGGTATTTTTCTCAGCTCCTCTACCTGTCCTGCCTGTCTGCAGAAGGATTTTAACTGCTGCAGAACAGTTCTTGTATGGCATCGTGCACCAAAATCCATGGAGCTATCCCAGACTTGGCTGCCTCCTGTAAAACCAATTTATTACGCAAATGCGTAATAACCATTCGCACCCATTTTGCAGCATGGCTGGAAACCTGAGCGGGTACAAAGGGCAGGAACTCCTGCCAGCTTTTTGCCATTCCTTTCTTTGTGAAAGGGCTGCAATGCTCCTTATTTAACCTTACCAGGAATTTTTAAGAGTTAATCCATGACTTCAGCACACAGAGGAGGATAATGTAATTGTTATCAAGGGCATGTTCCTGCCCTCTAAATCTTTAGTCAATAGGATTTGATTGCTAGAGAGGTTCATCTTAATTAATGCTATAATTTAATTTCTGTCTTCCAGCTGGAGTTTTATTCCTGAAAGGTGAAGACAAAAGTTCCAGATGCCTTGAAAGAAACGTGTACTAAATGATCAATCAGTCCATTCTGTATTTAATACTCCCAAAAATGGTATTTCTGAAGCACGCAGCATGTTGAAGGTGCACTAGACCACCACATATCATGCCTAACCTCTTCCCCCTATCAGAAACCAGGGGAAAGAAAAAACATCCATTCTTAAGACTCCCTGGAGAACAAGGAAAAGCGCTGCAACTATTCTGAAGGCATAACAGATTTGTAGCTTTCAGGTAGGGTTTCTTTTCTTCTCCAATCCCCTTTTAACAAAAATCTTATTTCTGGGTCAAATTCTTCCCAGCAAGTACATACGCATAGAGTTACACATTACTTAACATAGAATTTTACAGCACAGCTTTAACTTGGAAAGGAAAAATTTGCATAAGAACCAGAGGCAGTTGTGGCAATCCTAAGAAGGAAACAGAAGCAGTATTTATCTGTGCCTGCTGCAGGGCTTATCCGATACTTTAAACGCACAAAAAGATCCGAGTTTCCCTGTTGACACCCAGAGAAACTCTACCTCTCAAGCCCATGTTTAAGCAGTGGAAGCCTCTTTGAGCCTTAGGTTTTGTATAGAGAACAGCTAGAGAATTTCCCTGCCCTACTCCTCTATCAAAAATACACAAACAAGCAGGAGATTTCTTTTCAGAAAGGCAGACAGTATTGAGCGTAGCCAAAGCTTTAAGGAGATTTCGTTGTTATCAGGAACTCATACTGGGCATCACAAACACCAAGACAAACACTAAGACTGAAAAGATGAAATTGCCTGAAAAAGTTAATCCCACTGAACATAAAATAGATAAAATGAGAGTTTTACACCTCCTGCCACTTTGGATCTTCATGACAATGTAATTCCTGGAGACCCAGCACACTGAGTCTATCAAACCATGGAAAAGATTTCCCATAGCACTGTCAATGTGTTCCCTTTACCCAGGAGTTTCTATTTAAGGACACCTGAAGTACTCACTCACAGAGACAGAGAGGATCCATAGAAACTTGAACGACTCAACACTGCTCAAACATCTGCAGTTATTCACGTGAGAAAGCTGGTGCTCACGGGCAGTTTTCCCTTACTGTCATGCTCTACTGTATTGGTGGCTTAAGTTAGTAACATGCAGCAACAGCATCAGTGCAATGGTCATGCAGAGAGGACCAGAAGAGCATCCGAGAAAGCTGCTTTTTAAAGGAGAATGGATTAACCTTTGAGTTATCTCAGAAGTGATAGATGCTCTTTAGAGGAGCACAGCAACGCTCCTCAACACTGGAGAGCTTTTGGGGGCTGTGGTGACATCATATTCCATGAAGTACCTGCCTCACATCTTGTGTAAATTAGAGAATGTGACACTAAAACTGATGGAAAGGCACCTCTCTATTGCGCACGCACTTGCACGCAAATCCTACACTTAGTAAGGGGAAGAGTACTACAGTCAGAGCAATTTAACCCAGAAAAAGCCTCAAATAAAACTGTTGTTTCAGTTGATTGAGGTTTGATTGACTGCATGCCCATCTGGATCCAAAAAACAGCACAGAAGAGTCTCCTCAGAGGCATCAGCTGTGAGAAACTTGCATTTCTTCAGGACAGTTACACAGAAAACAGGCTCAGCAGCTGGAACACAGGCAAGCGTTCCTCACGCATCTGCATCGCTCCAATTCAAATTCTCTACAGCAGGTAAGTCCTGAGAGAACTTTTATTTATTTTTTTTAAACACTGAAGAAGCACTAAATTGCAATCTTAGCAAAGGAAGAAACACACCTGAGTGCAAGCACAACCCACCCCCTGGGCAGAGCAGGCTGCAGGAGAGCTCCCTATCCCCAGCTCCTGAGACCATCTGCATTCACTGCACCAATCAAGCTACCCAGCACAGAGCTGCTGCACAGGAAGGTGATAAGTACTAAAATTGAAAGAGAGGACAAGATGAGCAGCAAGTTATTTCCTGCATTAATTCATTAGCAAGAAAAAAAAAAAAAAAGCATTATTTTTCCAGAGCTGCCTATCCAACGGAATTAAACTCTGAACTAAAGAGTTCTATCATCCAAAGGAACTTAATTCAACTTTCCAAAAGCTAAACTAGACAATAAAACAAAAAGCAAGTTACCAGTGTGAGAAACAGCAGGCAGTCACTCCAATCCAAATGTGTGATTAACACAGGCAAACAGTTATAGTCACAATATTTAGAAGCAGGGGGAAAAAAAAAGAATAACTTAAAACTACAGAAATGACATCTCTGCAAACCAAAAGTGAGTTCTGAATAGAGAAATGTATTAATGTGGGGATTGAATTTATCATTTACAAACTTTCACTGCTACTGAAGGCAACTACTGACTTGTGAATGATTTCACACATTGTTACAAAAAAGAGATACCAAAAGCGTTTTTTGAAAAGTATGCATGATATTCATAGCATGCACCACACAAACAAGCACACTAAAAGAGAAATGTACACCAGGAACCAGCTTAATAAATTATGGCAAACAAGAGTAAGATATTAATGTCATATTCTGAAGGCCTCCAAACATTAAAGTTTCTCCTAACAGATTAGACCATTGTAAATGCCCATATGCTTTTTTTACTAGTTAGCTTCACGAGTTCGGGTATTAAAAATAGCATCTATTAACATCCTTTTCTACAGAGTTTCAGGACATTTCTTTACCTGGAAAACAAAACAACTCCGGAGAGATAAGATGAGCAAGAAGGGTAAAAGGAGAGCCCAGAGACGGGCCCCGGGGAGGCGCTGGGGGTG